CAAAAAAGTTTACATTTATACACATTCACTTAATAACCAATTTTTAACAATTGTTTTAAATAAATTTAACTTACATTTTGAATTACAATGATCAAAAATATTTTTCTTAATATATATTTTTATGGTTTTATAAAATTTCTCTAGAAAACCCCCAGATTTATAGTAGGTATAAATATTTCAATAAATATGAATAATTACATATTTTTAATTTCAATTCTTAGACATGGCAAGACACTAAAGCTTCTACCAAAAGTAAAGCTGCTGAAATGTCAGCATTTGTGCGTAGGGGAACTGGTGGAGGACCACCCACCTCAATAGTACTGAATGACGTTGAGGAAAATGCTCTTCAGTTAATTAAGCCTGTTGCAATATCAGGTCATACATTATCAGCTGAATCCATTGCAGAGTTTACATTTGAACCTGGTATATTGTAGTACTCAGTTGCATAGCCAGTGGCATTAAAATCTTAATATACCATAATTTTAAATACTTTTAGATAATTTAGAGACTTATACAGACGTAGATGATTTATTAGATAAAACTCCATCAAGTCCTAATCTTTTTCCTTACCAACTAACTGAAGCTCCTGTTACTTCTATCAATAATAGTAAGATTTAAAATGTATATAGCAATTTTTAAAAAAATAATAAAAATCCAATCTTTTCCTTATACAGTGTTTCCTAAATCTAATCCAACAATCAATTCCAAAGTTTATGGTCAACAATCTTGTAAGTATCATAAGCTATATAATTTTCCTAAAAATACTTATGTACTTGTGTAATTTTTTTGTTATATATATAAGTATTATCGGTATAATATAATACTAGACAATTTTGTTAAAAGTCAGTTAGTTAGTAAGTATATTTAGATTATTTTTCATTCCTAAAGCAATTGTTCAAGAAAAAGTTAACTGTAACAGTAACACCAATAAACGCACATCAGCTGCAGCTAGATTGGATGAAGGCAATTTAATTGGCTGACTTGGGCTGACTTGGGAGAACGAAAATTGTTGGCAAAACAAAAATATTGGGACCAAAAACTGTCTCTTTTAGCTGAACAAAATAGCTATTTGAAATCTATTAGAGATAGCCTTCTTGCAAACCACAATAACGAAAAGAGTAATAACAATTTTATATTTATTTATTTCCAAAGCATATACCAATACTAATTTTTACAAAATTGTATTAATCTTTTAATTGATTTATTTTTTCTAGCATAATGGTAATGGAGTTCTTTTCCTGTAATCCTTCATTCTCTTTAAACATTCATTCTCATCAATYCTTCATTCTCTTTTTCTTATACTATAACTTGGTTTAATGTTGTTGTTGTATCTACASCTAACAGATTTTTTAAATTTTATTTTATATTATTCTTATTTTTATTAAATCTTTTTCTTATACTAACTTATACTAACTGTTTCTAATATCATATTTCAAAATTAATTCTTAAAAATAAAAATTTCTGCTTATTAATTACTATTAATATTTATAGTTTATGACTAACTTATTAATTATATTAAATTATAAATATATATTATTAATTCATAATTAAAAATTATTTAATTRCATTACTAAATATGTTGAAAATGCTGTACAACACTTGCTCTCACTCTTCTTCCGTTGTTTAAATCATTGTTTACATTTATCTGGGGCATTCCATTGTCAGTCTGTACATGCCAAAATCTATTTCTACCCCATCATTCAAATGTTCAGGGTCAGGTTCATTATATGTTATGCACATATTATGCAGTACCACACATGCATTTATTATTGCTGTAGCTTTTTCAGGTGCATAATGGAGCACTCTGTGTTTCAATAAGCACCTATTAAATGATGTAATATAGATAAAATATGATATAGTTATATATGAAGGCATATAAAACMAAATGATGTATAAATACCTAAATCTCATCTTTAATAATCCATTGCACCTTTCTATTAAACTCCTAGCCCGCATTTGTTTGGTGTTATAGAGTTCTTCTTCTTCATTTACTGGATTTTGGAATGRTATTAATAGCCATGGTCTAAGTGCATACCCAGAATCACCTATATATAATATATACCATCCTTCATTTAGATCCAATACAATTTTCTATTTTTTTTATAAAGTAATAAAATATAAATATCTATATAAAAATTGTACAAGATTTATTATATTTTACAATGAACTAATACCCAAAAGATAGAAACATTGCGTCTGCTTAATTCTTGAACTATCGGTAGTACATTGCAATTGTTCCAAATGTGGCTGTCATCTGTACTACCAGGATACAGTGCATTCACACTTAATATTTTTAAATTGGCATCACAAATCTGTTTTTAATTAGCAATTATATTATAGTTGGATCACAATATTTATTTAAATTTTAAAATCCATTGTATCCTGGGGAAAGTGACCGGCCAACAACATATGAAAGTACACCAAAAATAATAGAGAAATGTGGGGAGGGGATCAAACATTTTTATTTATTAAGTTTTTTATAAAAGCAATTTATATTTTTTTCAACTTATGAACATAATTTAATTTTTAAAACTATTCTATTGTACTATCAACCAATAATATTGTATATGTTTACAATTAAACTCTAAATTTAAAAAATATATTATTATAAGCGTCACTTCCCCCTGGGACACATTGTATTACCTATATATATATATATATATATATATATATATAATGTATGCTATTTAAATGTCTTACTAATTGTGTATTTATTGAATGATAGTTTTTCCTATTTACATAAATATGTTCAGGATAATTATTTTCTGCTCCTAGATTTCCTGATGGAGCTACAATAGCAATATGAGTGCAATCTATGCACCCACATACTCCAGGAAATCCTGTTTTCATATAAAATCTAATMAATTAAAAATATTAATTAGTAGGTAGTGTGTGAAGAGTATYACAAACTGTGTATTATAATCAGTGGCAGAACTCAGTCAAAGAGGATATAGTATAWATTGGAATGTTATGTATTCTATTTTATAAAAACATACCTATTATGGTACTAAACTAAAATAGGTAGGTACAAAACCGATGGCAAAGTTGGTAAAATGATGTAAATTATTATAGAGAATTCGATAATGGTCATAAACTCATAAATCATAAGAACTCTTCAAGGGCGGATACAGAAATCCTAAACGGGGGGGGGGCAATCTGGCTATAATATATACGTATATGATTACATGAATATTAATTAATTATAAATATACCAATTAATTAATAGGAATAGTGAGGCATAGGAATTGTCCCCCTTGTATCCGCCCTTGCTCTTTTTATTGCATTTGAGGTTTATAAATATCTCATGAAGTTTGACACATTTATTGTGCAATATTCTGTATAAGCTCCGACCTTCCAATTTTAATTTACCCATAACTATGTCTATACTTCCATACCATTCCTAACTATATTCTATASATTTAYACCTATACATACTCATTTCGTAACTTTCTTAATTCTTCGATATTTTTASGAAATTTGACCCAACTATTAAAAATAGTTGGTCGATTAAGTGCATTAGTTACTTCACTAATGCTGCGTGATACAGTAGGCTGAGATACAGCACTATATCTACTATTTCCAGTAGGTAATTGATAAGACCCAGTTCCAAAAAATTGCAATGCGATTAAAACCTAAAGAACATTTTAACGTAACATATAAAAAAGTACCGATGTGGCGATGTTCTATATAGATTTATTATATATAATATGTACCTTATCTTGAACACTCAACGACGACAAACGCTTTGGTGGTTCTATAAATGGAGTGACTAACTCGATTAAATAATTTGTCAAGTTTTTACTCAACCTATAAGCTTTGACAAATGCTGTATCCGACAATGCTAAGAATGGATTTACCTTAACCCMAAACGGTTGTCTAACATTTTGAGCTCCGAGTCTCTCAACGTTAAGCATAGCAAACATTACAGCTTGTTCGTAATCGTTTGCCATTTTTATTATTATTTAATTATTTAACTTTTATTAAAAACTAACTAGTAACTAGATGTCGAAATGTGAATATAAATTCTAATGTAAACGAAAAATTACAAGTCACTAATCACGAACGGCTATTCTGCAGTTGAATGTTGATTAATAAATTATTGAATCTATGGCGCAAGCAAATAAAAATCATTCGAGTTAATTATGTCGAAGTCGAAATAGGTAATAGACAAAATGTCGAACGATTTTCATGCGAGTAATGTCACACCTTATTTCGAGAATACCATTAAACCAGAATCGATCGAGTTCTATTTTTGTCGAATGCGACAAATTTCGAGAATAGGACCCCTGGACGCCTCGCGCATAGAAGGCGAGTGCGGCAGTCCAGGATTGGAGACAGAGCATTACGTTTGTACAGAACATTCAGAGCCTTATTTTTCATTAATATAGTTGTACGTTTATTCTTAATTACAAATACAGAAAGTTAATCAGTCCTAAAGTGTTTRTGAATTTATTTGTGAGGACATCTCAGGATATAACATCGTCCATAACATTTTTGGTGGCAGCAGTGGGCTACGCCAAACACCAGTATCTCGCTATTACAGACATCAAACGGGCAGAAACTTTCAAAGGTATATTGAAAGAAAAACGAACAATCGAACCAGATCATTCCAAACGGAAAATCATTACCAAGGACATAAAAAACTACGGTAATATTTAAAATCCGAAATATTACATTTCAATTATATTTAAAAAAAAAAAAAAATAAAACACGCAGAATATAATATAAAATTTATATAATTATATATTATATTACGTTTTGGCCGTATTACGTATATATATAACTATATACGTCTACAATACGAACAAACAAATACGCGTGGTCAGCGTATTTGGAGGCGACATAATACGTAGAATTCTTACTGATTGTCGCAACTGTCGCCGTCATAATTTCGAAGACGCACGAACCGTCATCGGGTGCCGCCTGAAACCGTGATTGCACGAGTGTGCCCGACCGGGGACTTCAAACGCAATTCATCAAATGGTCGTGTTGCTGACGAGCGCGTACGAGCTGTGAAGCTGTCGAAAGACAGCAGCTGCGTCAATACGAATTATCAGAGCCAACGTAAATTGTGATACGCCGCCGCGCGCCTTCGTCGTTTGTTTACAAACACGAGAGTATTGTCGCGCACCGTGACGTTTGTGTAACATTAACATTAAACTGTTATATTACACGTTACTAAATCTGAACATCGAAGTGAAACCCAATAATTAATTATTGGTCCCTGCGCCAGCAGTTTCGGGGCGTAGAACTTCGTATCAATTCATATAGCAGTCGAAAAGGAGTATCGGCGTATTATATTTCCACGAAGGGGACAAACAACTTTGGTAGCTGTCTTGCTGTCCATTCATTTAAGCTTCAGATCATTACCAAACGTCCTCATTTTCAAAGGCAAGTGTCAAACAGCGTTATCGTGAGTACCTAATACAATTTCTGCCTTAACATTTAAGAACCGATTTTAATATCTAACTAAAAAAAAAATTTATTTTTCGTATTAGTATATATATATAAATATGAATATATATATTACGTATTCTTATTAAATTAACAGTGTTATAAATACATGTTTCCCAACGTTTTTTAACGTTCTAAAGAATAGCACAGACCATTTTGTTGCTCAATAAAATAAAAATTAATGAGCAAGAATCCGGACCAGAGTCAAATTCTCGGGGGTGCTGATACAGCCAAGCTTCTTTCACCAACCCCCCCTCCTAGAGTAAGTTTGCCAGTAAGGGGTACCAATCCTAACCAACCTAATACAGAGCGTTTAGTAGATGAGATAACAGTTGACCATTTATTAGTTAGGGAAGCTGATTTAGCTATCGCGACCAATAATTTACTGGTAGAAGTTACTCAAGAAATATCCGAAGTAGATCAGAGTTTAAGCCGCGTAGATCACGAAACAAGTTTAACCGAAATTCAAGAAAATAACAACATCCCAACACCTACAGAACAAATTGAAAATTCAGACAATCAAGAGAAAATCTTGGATTGGTCAGCGGGTGACGAGACGCAGCAACCAAACCCAAATATTAGGTGGTTTTTAAATCAAGACTCCATAAAAATCATGGATTCCAACCAAGGTCAGGGAGCGGGTAGTAGCAACAATCAGCCGCCAATAATGGAAGGCACAAACGCTGCAGAATTGAACCGATTAATCGATCTGAATGTTCAAGAAATAATGAGTATTAGGGATAATACTAGTCCAAGACGAAGTGATTCAATGGCATATGACCAAATTGGATTACAAGATGCCATTAGATTACTACCAAAATCTTTCGATGGAAAGGATACCGAAAATTTAGAAATCTTTTTGGAAAAATGTGAATTTGTCGTGTGTTGCGTGGTAGAAAATGCAATACCGCGATTATTACATGCGATTCAAACAAGGCTAACTGGAAAGGCACGGCAAATAACTAAATTCAAAACCTTTGACACGTGGGAAGAGTTAAGAGAAACACTCAAGACGAGCTTGGAACCTCAAAGGACCACCMWACATCTATTTTTAGAATTGTATGCCACTAAACAAAGAAGTGGTGAAGACATTTTATCTTACTCTATGAGGGTAGAGACACTACAGAACCTCATAGTTGAACAGGAAACCGTAGATCTTTCATCCGAAGTAGCCCAGGCTATGGAAAGGTCTATCAAACGGCAGGTGATTCAAGTTTTCATGGAAGGGCTAGAAAACTTAAAGGATTTCATCAAATCTAGGAATCCCCCTACTTTAGAAAAAGCCATACAGGCCGCCAGGGAGGAAGAACGGATTAAATCATCGGTAGAAGAATCCAAGAAACTCTACAAGTCCAACCCTGTGACAACGAAAAAAAACAGTTGGGTCTTGTAACATATGTAATAAACTTGGACACTGGGCTGGCGATTGTAGGTCCGCGAGACCTAATTATCATAACAATCAGAAAAGCACAATCATGTCATCCGGAACTTCTAAAACTGTTTATGCTATTACATGTCAATATTGTCGAAAACCTGGACACACGAAGGATGTATGTCGAAAATTAAGGTACGTGAATTCGAAAAGAAATGACTCAAATCAACCAGAGAAGTCGGAAAACTCCTAAGCACCGAGCACCAGCGGCGGGCGCCCGGGAGCGAGTGTGAAAACAGCCGTTGTTTCGTTTCAAGGATCGTGTTAGACACATCTCCAGAAGCTACAAGAAAGAAACTCGACTATGACCATGTAATTTGCCCAAGCATTCAGAMAATTAATRATAAAGTTAAATTAATGCTTGATACGGGTAGTGAGGTAAACATTATCAAAATATCTGCATTGAAAGATGATACCATRGTATACGAAAACACTATTCTCAGTCTTGCTGGGATTACAGAACATTTAACGCGTRCATTRGGGACGACAATACTCCAGTTGAAAATGGGTAGTTTAATATACCCTACAGAATTTCATGTATTACAATCAGTTTTTCCGATTCCTCGAGATGGATTATTGGGAAAACCATTTATCATCGGAAGAGAAACTATTTTAAACTTTAAAACTAAGGAATTGATTTTCACAGATCCTATTGACATTGAGTTACAACCACGGACCGAAACCTTAATTGCCATTCCATTCCGAAAGGAAGAAGGAGGAGAGACCTTTCTAAACCCTGCACAGAACATTACGGAGACAGTAATATGCTGCAATACAATAAATAGAGTACAAAGTCATACTACTATCGGTAATAAACCCAACAGATTACTCTGTTACTATCAACAGTGATTTAGTAGAGGCAGTACAATTCGAGAAGTTTGAAGAAGCAAAGATACATGCCATTCAACAAACACCAGAAATTCCTAGTGTCCTGAACAGAATTTCAATACTCGAAGAAACGATGAAAACGGAACATTTAAACCAAGAAGAACGAGAATCATTACTCAATCTATGCAGAAACTTTTTAGACATTTTCCATCTAGATGGGGATAAGCTAACCTGCACAGACGAGGTATATCATGAGATTATAACCAGTGCAGCGGCACAACCCATTAACGAGCGTCCATATCGTCTGCCTTTTAAACATAAACAGGAGATTGATAAACAAGTACAGAAACTTGAAGAGGATAACATAATTACCCCTAGTAAGAGCCCGTGGAACGCACCGCTTTTGGTAGTTCCAAAGAAACCAGATGGAAACGGGATTGTTAAATATTGCGTGTGCGTTGATTTCAGGAAGCTCAACCAAATATCTACAGGAGATGCATACCCTCTCCCGAATATTAACGATATTTTGGATCAATTAGGTAAGTCCAAGTATTACACGACTTTAGATTTGGCGCAAGGGTATCACCAGGTACAAATGCATCCCGAGCATCGTCAGAAAACTGCATTCTCGACTGATAAAATACATTACGAGTTTTTGAGAGTACTATTTGGATTAAAAGGAGCCCCAGCCACATTTCAACGGATAATGAATACAGTTTTAACCAGATTAACCGGGTTAAAAGCATTCGTGCACTTAGATGACATAATCATTTATGTAAATAGTATTAAAGACCATTCCAAAAAATTAAACGAAGTATTTAGCAGACTCAGAGCATACAACCTTAAATTACAACCGTCCAAATGTTCTTTCATAAGAAAAGAAGTAACTTATTTAGGACACATCATTACGGATAAAGGTGTAAAACCAGATCCCGAAAAAATTAAATGCGTTTTAAAGTTCCCAGTTCCTACCAATGCCAAAGAAATTAAATCATTTCTTGGATTGTCGGGATACTACCGCCGTTTCGTGCCAAACTATGGCCGTATTTCCAAACCACTTACATCATTATTAAAAAAAGATGTACCGTTTCAATGGACCGACCTTTGTCAAGCAGCATTAAGTGAACTTAAGACCATACTCACCCAAGAACCCTTACTTTAATATCCTGATTTCCAGAGACCTATCAACCTTACTTGCGATGCTAGTAATTTCGCCATAGGATGTATTTTATCTCA